TGACCAGGCGGTAATTGTAGTGTATTTAGGAAACTAAAAATCAAAATATACTTATTATAATTTCTAGGAAAAATCTAATTTATTTAAACTAAAAACAAATTTAAATTTTACAAAAATAAAACCTTGAATTCCAAAAACTATCCGGATCTGAAGCATAATTTGAATATTCAAAAAACTTTTTGAAAGCAAAATTTTGGATGTTCAATATGCATCGTTTATTTTTCAACTATATTTTCGCTATTTTTGATTTAATTTAATTATTTTTAATCATTTAAACTATATGAAAATATTTCTAGGCAAAAAGTTTAGTCTTACTTACACAAGCTCAGTTTTTGTACTCGTGCTTTAAATTTATTTCAATACACTTGTCTTTTTATTTTGATTAATTATTAAAAGCTGTTGAAATGAATGCGCTCAGTTTCAGCATCATTGAATTAATATTAAATAAAGTAAAACCGACAAAAAATGTAACAATTTAATTAACACGCATTACGCTCATTCATTGTGGTATTCATTCAATATTTAAATGACAGCTTAAAGTGAATAATACGCTGAGAAAAAAATATAATCACAATCGATGAGCAGCGTTAATATTGTGTTCAAATATCAAAGCGTATCACGCATACGACACGTATAACAGAAAATTAATTACAACTTTTGCCACGCTAAGCCGATGAATGTGCACCATCAAAATTATATTATTTCATTATATAAAATGATTAATTAAAATCTAAGATGTAACTTTCAAAACTTGTTTGTCTCATTCATTTGTGCTTGTCCAGGGCACATATTAATTGTCTTAAAAACCTCATATTTTGTTTGCAGGCTTAGACATATTTGAGACAAGACCTGTTCAAGACCCAAATATCCAATTTTGTAATTAGCAGGTACCGAGCACTAATCGGATTAGGTGGATATGGAACAGCCAAGCCTAAGCCTGACTGCCTTGATGTAAAATAAATATCTTTGATATTTGCAAATATTAATTAAAACAAGTAAGGATTCTAGTCGGGAGCTCCCGACTAGGGGATACCCTGAACCCTCTTCTTCCAACATCAAATGCATATATATATTCTATTTTAGAAGCTATATGTCAAGTTTGGTGACTCTAGCTCCTATTATTTACCAAAATTGTCCAAAAAACAGGATATCGATATAGATTTTTATCAATTGCTTGGAAACGGAGGAAGTTATCGATTATCGGAAACAAACTCGATCTGCGCCTGAACTAGGAGCATCTACATCTAAGATTTCAAGTCTCTAGCTCTTATAGGTTCTGAGATCCTTGCGTTCATACCTACGGACAGACGGACATGGCTAAATCAACTTGACTATTGGTGCTGATCAGGAATATATATACTTTATGGGGTCGGAGATGCTTCCTTCTGCCTGTTACTTACATTTGGATTTTGCACAAATACAATATACCCTTATACAAAATATATTACAAAATTATGTATTTAAAAAAATGTAAAAAATATGACGTCACAAGGCCCGATCCAAAATCTAGATGTGCAAAGCAAGGCAATGTTTCGAGACGAACTGCCACAAGCTTATGATTGTGATTGTGATTGTGATTGTGCCTGCTCGAATTGAGTGCTTCACATGGACACTCTTGACCCGTTAGCCATATCTATATTTCTCTTTGGCACTGACAACAGATGTGCCACATGGAAGCCAGTGGTAGACAGCTCTATAGATGCTCTCCTATGTGTGTCCTTTTTGGCGTACATATCAACCCACTTAACGCTTTGTTTGGACCACAAAATAAATGATGCCAAATGCTGCAAAACAATAACACTGCGCCTTGCTTTTTGCCAGCACAATTCTCTAGCATTTCTTTTACTGAAATCCACTCAGCTTCACACACACACACACACACACACGCACACACATATAGACTCACATTGAATGCAACTCTTGCGGTTCATTGTACTTTACGAGCATTTTTAGCTCGACTGAGTTCGCGACTTCCGCGTTGTTTTGCCGCCATTTTGTTAGGTTTTGTTGTCATCCGCCTTTTTGCCTCTGTATGTTTGCGCGTGTGTGTGTGTGTGTGACTATTCTTATTTTTTTGTTGCACGTGCATCGAACAATAGTTTGAACCCAGGGCTGCCTCAATTGTTTGGCCATAAATAATGGGCAATGTCATAGCGAATGTGGCGACAGTTGGCACTCACATCTGAGGCTGCCTTTAAAGCATGCAAATATCACGTATACGCCGCTGGCGTCTCACACACACACGCACACAAACACACACATTTATACATATATGCCAAATGACACATCGGGGAGTTGTACATTTTTGAACTGCGGTTCGCATTACGCTGCATTAAGCCAAAAAGGCTGACCAAAAGGCTGTTAGCCAACAACTTTCTAACCACATTTCGGACATGGCGCATAGTAACACACACATAAAAGAGTGTGTATTTGTGTGTGTGCATCTGTTGGCGTCTGCTGACAGCTGTTCGTGTTTTCTGCCAATGGCGACCATCACATTAGCGCCATTTTCCACTCTGCGGTCATAATTCACTAAAATTAATTGTCGCATTCAAGTTTTGTGCGCCTTGAACAAAAGCACATAAGAACTCTAAGTCGTAGGTAACCGACGGCGCAATACTCTGTTCAGAGTGTAAAAACAGCTAAAAATTGTAAGAAAGAAATCCATTTCTCGCTTTCTCCCTTTCTCTCTTTATCCTAAAAAAAATGGAACATGTAAAGGAATGCAATAGACTATTGGCTTTCCATTGGTGTTTTGAAATAAAGTGACCTTTTCACTCAACAAAAAAAAAGTTTTTTGAAAAAGTAAAAAAAAAGTAATTTAATTGTTGTAAGGACCTCAACTCTTTAAAAGTATGGGCACCATCAAAATATGTAATTCTTAATGCTGCTGACCGTCAACAATATGATTTAAAACATTACACATTTTAGGCCCATATTTTTGACTCAATCTTCAGAGGAAGTAAAATTGTTTAGCCCTTTGCTCAGAAACAACAACTTTTATTATTTCTCTAAGTCTCTAGCTTTTAGAAATATGAGGAAACGGCCGGGAACTGCACAAAATGCATATACCCTTTAACGCTTTGTGAGCCGAGCATAAAAATCAGCCCGTTTTTAGCCACTTTTTAGTTTTTTTTTTTTTTTTGCGCATAAATATATATCTCAGGGGTGCTGTTACTAGCACTATTGATGACAGGGCCAGTTTGGCTAGTTTTTGATAGCACGCTGCTTTGAAATGTAATTTATTGCCTGACTGATGCTATTTCCACATTAATCTTGGGTAAAAACTTTGTTATATCGAAAAGTTTAATTTGATTTGCACTTATCATTGTGCAAGATCTAAACAGAAAGCAACAAAGACCTTGTGATGCATTGAGGCATAAATGAGTGCCGACATGCCATCGTCGCTTCCACTGCGCTGCACATTCTCGCAATATTGCCGGCTTGTTTGCCAAATGAGTTTGGCATAGGTTGGGCGCTTAGGCTCAAAGCCAAATACCCATTGTTATCCCAAACTAACTTAAACTAAGCACAAAACTTAAAACAATGCGCAGCAAACAAACTTGGCACATGGCTTATTTACTTTGCCTACAGTTTATGATAGCTTTCACTTGTCACTCTTTTGTTCATTATCCAATTTAAACTTAAGTAACTCTTAAAAAAATTAAAGTTTGCAAATTATGATATTATGATATTCCTTTACATAAGCGACTCGAATTTGAAATAGTTATGGCAATCTTAAGTCTAGGCAGATAAGTTCTTTGCTTAGTCTCAAAGCTTTTATGTACTTTAAGAGATTAAACACCTTAAAGCAGAAATCTGGGGCTGCTTTGTTTGGGGCAGCCAAATAAGCAAATATTGCCCCTGACACAGACCTGTTAGCACCTTTCACAATGTTAGCTTCGAAATCGTGAATTGTGAGGCAGCAGACGGCACGTTCGATACAAATAAATCAGAGGAAAAGCTTCTAAATTGTATTCCATTGTTGCGTACTTTAGACTCACCTTATGCTATGCTAGTTACCAATACCAAGATATTTTCCTCGTTCGCACTCAAATACTCTCGCTCTGTATCAAAATTCTGTGTGTCTGAGGTGGGACTAAAGGGTCGATTCAATTGGCTGCCACGTTGATTTCGCATCGATTTTGACTTTAACTGTATTCTCTGCGTTTCTATGCTTAAATCCCCTTGTCAGTAACATTCGTTTCTTTGCTTGTCGCGGAATACCCAAAAGGGTTGCGGTCTCCAGAAATGCGCTGACAGCGCATTTATTTCGTCAACATTTGGATTGAATGTGCTGTCACTGAAATGCACAATTTTCAATTGCGCGCCTGCAGCACACACATGTTTATTTATACGAGTAAAGCCCCGGCAAAGTGTCATAAACTGTCACATTTCCGAAACTTATTTTAGTTGAAACAATTTAAGCAATACTCGCAACCAGTTGCAATAAATGTTTCGATTTGACTCGTGTAAAACTAGTCTTAGAGTTCTGTCACGTAAACTTCCATGTCTAGGCGAAGTTTCCAGCAAACACACGTTTGAGAATTTAAAAAACTTTAAAATATAGGAGCAAGACTGCAAACCTTCTCTTTGTACAAAAAGAAGTTAATAAGCTTTGAGAAATATAAGCACTCACTAGTTAATAATTTCTCTTCCTACTCTGTCTTTTTATCTACATATTATTCGTACTATGTCGCTGACTCGCTCTTATCTTTTTAAATATTCCCTAAATCGTTGTTTTGTTCTGCCTCTTCTTATCATTTAAAGCATCTCTCTATCCATGTGTTCTATCCTGTCTCTGAACCGATCGGTCCTCGTTGTCTCACAGACATTTACTTCGATCTTTCCATTGCAGGATTATTTTCTCTTCCTCTCTCCCTCTTTCTCTTCCTCGCTTTCTCTCTCTCTCTCTCTCGTGCTCTCTTTCTCTCTCTAATCTCTGTCAGTTGTATCTTTACCCATCCAAGTCTAAAGCTTTCTATTATTACTTTGTTTTATTATAGGAATGGATATCTATTTAAATCTTTTCGAAATGTATCGATAGTTTACAAGGAGAGCGAAAACTAAATAAAACGATTAATTATTATAGGAATACGATAACGGTCCGCCTTTCCAATTTCTATCCTAGGGAGCTAAGTGCATTTTCTTGTATTCACTTTTGTTTCGTTTTCTTTGAGGATAACCAATTGGAGTTTGTTTTTTTCATTTCTTACAGGGGACAAGCTGTGCAGGATTTGGTGAAGTCGACAACCAGCTTAACAAACTTGTCGGGCTGATCTATATGCACTTTATGCTCGGCATCTAAATACTCGACATGCAGTTTTGGAAAAAATTTTCTCATTGTCTCAACATTTGCTGGCGTTACAAACGATTCATTACTCGCAGCAATTAGCAGGGTCTCACCCTGATAGGGATGCAGACCCTGCAGCGTCTGCTCATAGTTGACCATTGTTGCATCCCAGCCGTCTATGATCGCCTGGGCATTCACACTCCAGCCAAAGCTGCCATCGTCGAGCTTTCGCAGATTCTGAATGATCAGCAACAAATCGTGATCGCTTTTGACCAGCTTTCTGAACTCGGGTATTATGTGCTTGCGACCCTCCGAGAGAGAAAAATCTTTGGGTATTGTCGACACCACGCTCACCATAACCTTAAACAACTCCAACGCTTTGACCACATCGTCAGGCAGCGGTCCCGGCGTTATGTCCACAATAATGGCACGCTCCACCAGCTCGGGCTTGGTCAGCGCCAGCGTCATCAATGCCCGTCCGCCCATGCTGTGACCCAAGGCAACAATCCGATTTAGCTTATGATCCGCCATAAAGGCCTCCACATCGGCAGCCATGTGGGCGGGCGTATGGCCCGCACTATGCGGACTTCGGCCGTGATTCCGGGCATCCACGGAGATCATCAAGCGTGAGCCCTGCTTCACCAAATGTCGCGCTGTGCGACGCCAACTGGAACGGGAGAGATTCAAGCCATGCATAAGCAATATGGGCGGCGAATTCAGTTGACTGTGCGGCATCTCGTACAGCGTATAATCCATCTTTACGCTGCCATAGCTGCGGTTCGAGTGTATCCTTGTGGATAATAAACAGCGCCTCATGTGTATCTCAGAAACGGAAAATTTTGAATTAGACCTAAAAGACGCAATAGAAAAAGAGGCAATTGAACTGATCACTGATCCATGGAGTTTCCTCGTCAATAAGCATATTCCACAAACCATGACCGGGAAACCCTGGCTCCGTGCCAAAAGACCATGAAAGATAAGTTCTGAGGCGCTAACTAGAAATTTACATATTCAAAATGAAAATTACTTGGGAGAGAGACGACCTCTGATAGTCACCTGACTTCTATGTGAATTTACCTGTCAATTTTGACATAAAAGACACAAAATGCTGATAGGAATTGGAAATATCCAGCAATAAGGATTCTGTATAGTTATATACAATTTCATATGACATGATATCATTTCATACCAAATATTTCTGCTATTCTTTCATACATTTTCTTTTTTTTATACAATCTCAATTTTTGCAAAATATGAATAAGTAATCCGATAATCCTCTAAAGTAAACACAAAGCTCTGCGCCTTGAAACTCTAGCATAAGGCAGACATAGTTCGTTTACTGCGGCTTTTACGCAACCAAATCCCCAAATGACGCCATAAATAAAATGCATTTGCGTGGAAAATTAGGTAGCAGCAAATGACGCTGCAACAAGACGCACACAAATACAGAAACTCTAGAGTATCGGAATACACATGCATAGACAGAAGTATGAATATATATATATATATATATATATTCCTTGTAAGGAACATAAATCTTGCACATTGCTCTGCCGCAGACACAAACAAATCGTCTTTGGAATTTCTTTTCTCTTTTTTCACTTTAAATTTATTGAAAATATCTGAGGATTATTGAGAACTTTGCGTGCGTATCTTTAGAAAGGTGTCAAGTGCGTTTGAGATATAAAATATATACATAGATAAAATTATAAACCTATTCACAACAAGCTCTGTGTGCTTTTTATAGAGCAACTGTCGGGAAAAGTTTGAAGTTGAGTTGCTTTAATACAATACAATAGAACAAATCAATGGTGTTAAATGTCAAAGAAAACTCGTGCCAGTCAGGGGGAGACAGGTGGTTGTGATTTTAATAGAACTTATCCCAAACACATGCTGTCCCATTTCTATTTATTGACACAATTAAATGCCTTTGAGTTTTGCCCCTTTTGGCACAGCAAAAAAAGTGAGAGTTAATCAGAAACTGGACTTGAACACAAAGGAAAACCAATTTAAAGAAACGCAATCCCAATTATTAAATCGAAATAATACTAATATGCATCATTTCGATGAAAGTTTAATGTATACTTAACTATTCCAAGTTCTATTTGAATACTTTACATATGCTGTATTCAAACTAGTCTCCTAATCAGTCACACTTATATTGTTATTCTGTCTCTTATATTTATAAGAGCGTAAGCGCCGGTGAATTTATCCGCACTGGCGCTTTAGCTTAAACTCTTTGAGAGAGAGAGAGAGAGAGAGGGAGCGAGGGAAAAAGAGATCAAATCATAATTTGAAAAGCTGCTGAGCGTGATTCATGGCAGATTTTTATAAACAAAAACAAGGCATGCAACAGTTAGATGACCAAAAAATTAGGGGTATTCGGGAGTAGATTAAATGCAAATGCAAAAGGTTAACAGAACTTCAATTTGTTTATTTTTCTATGCAAAATTTTTAAATTAACTTTTGTGTTTCATATTATTTTATATATATATATATATTTTCAATTCGTCCCTACACATCCACCTTATTCTCCTTTGGTTTTTTAATCTCTAAAGGCATGCAAATATTAATCTAACTATACATTTATAATAAATAAACGCTTACTTTAGGAAACAGTTTAAATAGCTTTATATGAAATCCGTAGCATTTAAATCAATGAATCTAAAGCTTTAGAAAAGCCATTGAGAAACAAGGCAAGGAAGTGAAAAGCTATTTTCAGTTTTTATTACCGCTTTTACTTGTAACCATTTATTTCATTGTGAAAAAAAGCAAAGGATAAAAGCTTTTCACGGCGCTTTAAACTTGAAAGCGAATTTTAAAAACAGCATGACGCCACCTATGTTTCATTTATGAATAAAGCGAATACACAAACCTATAAAGGTTGACAAATAGGCTATACTAATCTTAAAAGAACTAGGATATGTTTTCTTACTTCCCAAATATTTACGATAATTATTTGGTTAGATTTTAAAAAGATACTCTCATAATTCTTTCACATTAATATATGATAAATAGCTGTTTAAAAATTCAAAATTTGATTTAAGACTCTCTCATTCCACAATACTTTAGGTTTACAAACTGATAAGTTACAGCACTTCGTTTTTTTTTTATCAAAATAACAAGCAAAAAACGTGTATTATATTTGCGGAGTAAGTCTTTAATAAGAGGCCTTAAGTTTTCCAAAGGCTTCAATTAAATGAATATAACAACAGCTTTCGCTAAACTCCCAACCCCCATTGAGCGGCAGCCAATCAAAACGCCGCAAACTGTTGCCAATCCAAAATGGCCGCCTTGCCTGCCCTTCGTAGATGCTGCACGCCGTAAGGGTGGGCAGAAATCCAATAAGCCACACCGAGAAGAGCTCATTTCAAAGCAGTCAACACAATCAGAATTTATTCCAATTCGGGCTTCCAAGCAGAACAGTAGAGACCCAAGGTCGTCAGTCGTATCAGAATAGGACAATATACACCATATACACCAGCAGCAGCCATGCAGCATCCGAGCGAGCAGCCCACCTACATGCCCGAGGTGCCCTTTCAGCCACTGTGGGGCCAGGAGGCACCGCCGCCGCCGCCCATAGTGCCCTATCAGGAGCTCATCGCGGGTTTTCCCTGCTCCGATTTGTGTAAGTGCTTGTGTTCTACTCTATACTCTACATTTTCGGTTTACAGTTTTGTCAACTTGCAGCACTCTGGCAGAGATCTCAAGTGGCACCGCTAGTTAACCAACGTCCAAGCACGAATGGGCGCTCTCATGGCTCCTCCTCCGCCAGTTCGAAGAAAACGCGTCGTCGTGTTGCCTCCATGGCGCAGAGGCGCGCGGCAAACATACGCGAACGCCGTCGCATGTTCAATCTGAACGAGGCCTTTGATAAGCTGCGCCGCAAGGTGCCAACATTCGCCTATGAGAAGCGGCTATCGCGTATTGAGACCCTGCGCCTGGCCATTACCTACATTGGCTTCATGGCGGAGCTGTTGAGCGGCACGCCCTCTAACACCCACAAGTCCCGCTCGGACATGTACGGCGGCATGAATGGACACCATCATTCAACGGCTGTGGCCCCAGGACCGCCAATGCATCCACATCATCTGCATCCGGCGGCCTATCAACGTGACTTTGCCTCGCCCTACAATCACAGTTTGACATAGATCTCGTCCGGCGGATTATTTCAATATTGTTCCGTGTTTATGTTGCCATATCATGTGTTTAGACTTAAGATTAACCCATATAAATGTGATAGATGTGCAAATTATGAAGTGTGTGGAGTTTAAATATAATATTCATAGATATGAGGAGCTAAAGCTTCCTATATAGGGGTCCATACTTCGCATACTAAAGGAAGAGAAACAAAAAAACTTAACTCATGATCTCTAGTGCTAATACAATTTTGAGAGAAACTTCAATTATGTTATATGAAAACATATATAAGATAAAAATATCTATTCTTAGAAAATGAACTAGACCCAAACAGCCTTACATCACATACTTTAAAATAAGTAGAAGGAATTGATGGCTTCAGAGTCAGTGAAATAAAAGTTGGGTTTATCAATAAACTTACCCTTGGATAAAGAATTAATAACTTATTAAAGCATATCTTTCTGCTAGCCAGGGCGTGAGATTTCTTCGCAATTCGGGCAACTTCGTATCTAAGCCTGAAATAAAAAAAAAAACTTCATTTGCTGGAACCTAAAACGAATGGTAGATGTAATGCTAAATTCATGTAATGGTAAATTCATCTGTGAACTGATCAAGGAAACTGAAGAACTAATGAAGAATAGGACTCGAATCTCAGGCTAGTTTATGAATATAGTGATGTTTTAAACAGGAGTAAAGATTAATAATGCATTATATATTCATATTAATAACAATTATAATGATAGAGCTGTATTAGTTAGCAAATCAAAACCTATTACACAGCAGTATTTGCCTTCCATTAAATTCTTCACTCTTATCAATTCTTTCCCTTGTTGATTTCACATTCTGATAAGCACATAAGAACTATCAAAATTTTCACAATACTATTTGCAATATCTCTGTACGCCAACAACTGATAAATATTATAAATATCATAATTTCTGCGTTCAATAGATTAGTTGCTACGACGTTCAAGCACAAAAGCTATCAGGCACATATTTCCTACAACGTTATCAAAGATCTCATTAAATTCAATAGACGATTGTTAAATTTTCTGGCTTTGATAAATCGACAGTATTCGGTTGAAAGCCAAACGAGAATGTTGAAGACCGCATTTGTAACCCAAATTTCCACTGTTTCCAGCGATCCGCCGGCCTGGCTAGATCAGATGGAACTGCAGCAACTAATTAAAGAGGAATTTCCTACATTTCAAGATATAGAAAGCTTTCGCTGCAGATCCGAACAAAATGGTGAGCGTGTGCAGATCCAAATAAAGTTGGCGGGTGAGCATTTGCAGAGCTTACTTCTCGATATGCGATAACGATAACGATTATACAATCGAACAGGCAACTCTGCTCGCACTGTCAACTACCTCGTGAAATCGAAGGATCTTCCCAACCTGGACACTTTAAAGTTTCCTCAAGACAAAAACTTTCAGCGTGAGCTGCACATGTACAAGGTGGTCCTGCCTGCCCTCGGAGAGCTCTATAAGGATGTTGATAAGAACATACCATTCACACCCAGCTGCTATAAAAAGGCTCCAACTGCAAGGCAGCAACTGTCCAACTGTCTCTTTCTAGAGGATCTTCACGCCAAGGGCTTTCGGTCGGCCAACCAGCCGAAGGGTCTTGACCAATCAGCTATGGAGGTGGCGCTATCAAAACTGGCCGCTTATCATGCGGCCACAGCACGATATTTGCAACTAAAACCAGCGCAGTTAAATGAGCTAGTTCCAAATAAAGAACCAGCCCAAGAGTTAAAAGATCTTAAGAGCTGGCTACAGCGCAAATTTCATGAGAGTTTGCGGTCAAACGATTTGAAGCATTATGAGGATAAGGTGGTAGGTGAAAATAATATCTACTGAGTATATCAGATATATGCAGCTATTTTTTTGCTCAGAAATCATATCAGAAATATATAGCTGGCAATATGGAGTCGACGGATCTGAAGAAATCCTTCAATGTCATCCTGAACGGTGCCTGTTGGCCAAACAATTTACTGGGCCAATTCGATGCGTTTGGCCAGCTTAATGATGTGATTTTCCACGATTTCGGTGGTGCAGCCCATGGGCCTGCCATACGTGATCTTCTGCAACTAATCTTAACAGCATCTACGGCAAAAACTGAACAATTTGACGCTTATTTGCGATACTATACGGATGAACTGACGGAAAATCTAAAATTGTTAAAGTTCAAGGGAAAGTTACCCACCTTAACGGACTTTCAGCTGGATGTACTTAACCATGGACACTGGGGTAAGCTATGGAATTAGCTGGAATTATAAATGCTATATAATAATATTCTTAACTATATAGCCTTTGAGACTGTAACGGAAATTCTGCCCATTGTACTGGCCGATTTCGAATGTGAGGATACGGATGAATTGTTCAAGTATACAAAATACTCTGCGGAAATTAAGAAGCTGCTGCCCTGGTTGGAGAATCGTGGTTATTTTGAGGTTGAATAACAAATGAAATCAATTTACCTAGGGTTTAAAGTCAACTTGTACAAATTACTTTAAGCAAAAAAATGTATACCAACAACCACCTGATAATCCCCTAGGAACCACACTTGTAACTGCAACCTACAACATTATTAAAGCTTGATTTGCGTGCGAACTATTGCAGATGCTGTGGCACATGTTGATGCTACACAATGTAGTCACATTAGGTAGAACACCGAGGCAGCCAAAACACAAGACAACCCAACAACAATTTAACAACGTAAACAAAGCGTAAAATTATTATTAATAAATTAATGTGATAGGGCTGCAATACAATGACAATTTTTGTAACAACCCTTGTTAGGCGCAAACAAGTGCAACAATTATGAGGGGCGCGATTGCGCAGATTTTGAATACTCTGTAAATTTTTTTTTGGGATTTTGTGCCTTACCCATTATATTGGGATACATAATTCTCTTTAAATGAGAGGAATTTTACACATCTCACTTGAACATATTGACCCTCTAATGGGCACAGTTTGCTTTATACTGATCTTTATTTAAGATCTAAGATCTACTAAATTTGTTACACAAGGCATATAAAACAACAAATATTGCACCGAAATAAATATTTTTTGGGAAGATCACATTGGCCTGCCTAATACTGGTGTCTGCAAATACAGGGTATCTGTTAGTCTATTTTGGTATTTTGACACATATCGTTTTCCGCCCCGCCTAAATACCGAGGAATTTTTGCGTTCAACGCCCATTTTCAACAGATTAGCGGGCCCTTTCTTTTGTTGTTGCCACAGAGCTCAACATTGGGCAAATTAGTTTTGAGGGGAGCACAAAAAATCTGTTAGACCTAACTAGACCCACCTGAGGGTTGCTCGGCAAGATCTGTAACACACAGCGACCCTTTTTGCTCCTGTTTTGGTTGTGCGGTAGCTAGCAATATGTTTTGATGAATTTGTGACACTTCATGCCGCATTAGGTTGAGCAATTGCTACCCCTGCTATAGGGGTTGACGCTTGACTTTGGACTTGGCTTTATGAAGTGCGCTCACGTGTCTGTGATTAGCGGATTATGTCAGAATCGTATCTATCTGTAGTATTTAGAGTAACTGACTCAAATGCCTAAAACTAGACCACCTGCTGTGTGGGAAACCCCAGCCAAAAGAATTGAGCTTAAAATTTCAAGATCACATCGCATGTTTCTTATGAATTTGTCAGTTTGTCCGTGCCACGTGTCGCTATTTAAATGTTACCCATAGTAAATCAGCGTAGGAAATTAACAAGTCTATGAACAATTTCTGGCTGAGATTTGCGTAATCCTCACCCTCTCCCCCTTCGGGTCTATTGTGCGCATGTCAAATCGCTGTGACAAATTAATTGAATTTTGTTACATTTTTGGCAAATTTTGCGCAAAACTATCGACACTTTCTGAAGCTATTAGAACGATATCCAATATATATTTGACGGCATGATAGATGAGCCAAACAGATGGTCAGAAATTATACGATAAAGATTAATATGTTATATTACACGACATCATATGAAATACAATCAAACGAGTATTATTTTAATAATCAAAAAAAGCTTTAAAACACTTAAATAAGTTGATATTATTTGAATATATAAAGAAAGTGAGGCCAAATTCAGATCTAAAAATTTAGGTCTCTTAATAATGAGAAGATTTGCTTACAAAGCTTTGATAATCATAAAAGCTGCAAAAGCTTTGAATGAAATTTAAGTGTCAGTTGATAAACATACTCCCTTTACGCATTTAATGAGCGAGTTCCCAATACCCTGTATTTAAGTATTTAAGAATTTCAAACTTACTTATGTTTTATGCCAAATAAAATGTATGTTATATATTAAAATTAACTATTATTATATTATTATACCCTGTACACAATACCTAATAGGTAGAGGAACCTATTTACTAATCGAATTTATCTTATAAAATCTCAAAAAATTGCTCGATATTTTAATTATTTAAATTATAATTTTATAAAGATTGTTAGACAAACAAAATCTATTTGATGACAGTTCTGCACACAAAACTATATACAGGGCATCGCAAATTCGTACACGCTCAAGAGCTTTACTCATTTGACAAAGTGGCGTAATTTGAACAAAGCTTTAAGCACGAAAGCTCTGTTTTGTTTATAAACATACCATCCGGCAAGTGCAAAACTTATAGTATACATTGAAAGAGCTGGCAGTGAAAACGTAATCCGAACGTGTAAAAAACATGGGAAAGACGGGTGAAAAAGAGGTGCCAGAGTTGCCAGAGTTGCCGAACTGGTTGGATGAGCATATGTTTGTGGAGTTCTTGCAACGCGACTTTAAAGAGTTCAAGGCCATCAAAAACTTTAAGGTGGAACCCACAGGCGGCAAAGGCGAAAACTTTACGACTTTGGTGGTGCGCGTTAAGATAAACGTTGAACTAAATGGTAAATGATTAAACTCAATTGGAGCTCAAGTAATCGAAAACTCTAATAAATTCAATAAAAACCTTTGCAGATGGCAGTGAAGCAGCTACCTCGTATATAGTCAAATTGTTGCCCACAACCTTGAGCACACGTGATATGATTGCCAGCTGGAAGATCTTCGATAAGGAAAAGCTAACCTATAGCAGCTATGTGCCTGAATTCGAGCAAATGTTCAGAAACAACAAAAAGGAAATAACATTTGGAGCCAAATACTATGCGCCAACAAATGCAGCGAGTCAGGAGCTGATCATCCTGGAAGATCTGGGCAATCGCGGCTTCAAGAACGCCAATCGTCAGGAGGGCTTAAACATGGCGCATACCAAAGCTGTGCTGGATAAGTTGGCCCAATTTCATGCCGCCTCAGCTGTGCGCTATGAGCGCAAAGGTGCCTATCCGAAACTCTACGATCGGAATCTGTGCAGCGAGGAGGATAAATTTCAAGAGTTTCGAGACACGCAAGCCAAGTCGCTTATCAAAGCACTGCCGCTCTATGAGGCTGCCTATATGGAGAGCGAACTGGTAAGTAAGCGATATTTGTATACACCGTAATTATGACAGATTATTTGAAGAGGTCCATATAAGCCAATGTATCTATTTGAACTCATTGACTAATAAAGTTTGGGGTAAATAATGGCAGTTCGCTTGAAGAAAAAGATTTCTCATGTTAATCAGAATAACTAAATAATGAAAGAATATTAATAAGAAAATATTTAAGTGTCTTTCTACATGGTATCTTAAATTATTCTGTATCTTCTGAATCAATTCCAGAAATCCTACACCTCAATCGCCCCGGATATGTTTCAGGCCCATGCGCCCAAGTTTGAGGGCGAATTCCGTTGTCTTAATCATGGCGATTTTTATTGCAATAATATCATGTTTCAATATGATGAACAAGGCGAAATTAGCGAAACATACTTTCTTGATCTGCAGATGAGTCGCTATTGCTCGCCCGCTCAGGATTTGATCTACATACTGCTCTCCTCGGTTGCTTTCGAGCTTAAGTTTTCCAAATTCGACTACTTTGTACACTACTATCACAGCAGGCTGGTTGAGTATCTAAGGTTTTTGGATTATCCACAGCCTCTGCCTACATTGAGGGGAATCCACATTGCGATCCTCAACCATGGCGATTGGGGTTGGTTTCAACATTTATTATACATTACTTATTGTTTAATGTATTATCTTATTTTATTATTTAAGTTTACCCCGTAATATCACTGCTACTGCCACTTGTGCTGATAGATCCCAACGAAAAGACCAACATGGACACCATGATGGACCAGGCGAGTGAAGGTGACCAACTGAGAAACACCATGTTTGGACATCAACGTGTTGTACAGCAATACAAGCAGATGCTGCCCTGGGCTTACAATCGTGGTTTATTTGTGTATGGACCAAACAAATGACTAAAAAGCAACTGTGATATCTATTTCTTATGCCATACTTTTGTATGGAGGTTCAAATAAATAAATGATCGTTTTATAAAAAAAATACTGTTTACTGTATTAAAAGAGATTTGAACTCGGATGAGATAAAAGGTTACTTGAAAGGTCTATATGAATCTAAGCCCCTATTTTGTACAAAAGGAAATAGATTTAAAAATTTCTTACACTTGCAGAATAAACTAGATTAGGAGCTACCCTAGGGGAAAACAGGCCTTCAAATCTAACGACGTCACACTTGGTCAAATTTTTAGCAGGTGTTGAAAATTGTATGTCTGGCAGTATCTCAATGGTATAAAAAAGAAAACGCAGTCATTGTGATTCTACAAAGCTGAACCCAAGAAAATTGATTCTGGTTCTATCAAATACTGCTGCCAACTGCCAGTTCTTAAATATCGCTTTGTTGCCATTTTAACAACTGTACATTTGTTTGGGAGCTTTATAAGCATTGCTAAATCATATTAGACCTGATAAGGTGGCACAAGAGCTGGCGATAAATAATTGCGTATTATATTAATGCTAACTTCTGGCGCATGCCAAATAAATGCTTGCACTCAACTATTTTACTACAACTGCAATCAATTGGCTAATATTGAATTGTAACCGTAGTCTAGCCCTTAAAACGAGATTAAATGAATCAATTATTTTTGTAACTAAGAGCTCTAAGAGCTTCCCGGTTCCTGATTTGCCAGTCCTATTCGTCAGTCCACAGCTACAACCACTTGAGAATTATAAGCAACAAACAAATTTTTAGGGTTGCAACCTACTCATGCATGCTTACCCCAGGGACATATGTATACTGTTGAAGTGGATTGCCCGATTAGATATCATACCATTTTTGAAACATTTCTTTATGGACAACTTATTACTTATTACCCCAATCTTACTATTAAATGTATATAAAACGAAACTAATTTAGGTAACCAATGTTAGGTGACAAAAAACTAATAAATATATACAAATACAAAATCAAAACTAATTACATATGTATATAACATATCTGAGAGGATACAGTCTCTTAAATACCAAATACCCCTGTAAATTTGATTCTACCTGATATAGTTGTATTGATAAAATGTGCCCAATAATTTCAGGAGAGTTAGTAAAGCTAGCAAATTAGCAGAATAAAATCCCAAGTACAAGTTAATAAACATGATCTGAGCAAATTTGCCATTCAAAATGAACATTTTTCTTCAGTTTTGATGATTAATAATTTGAAGTAGTATTTGCTCATATCTTTATTGAGAAGCTTTCCGATAAGGCTAGCCGTAACATGTATGATTCTTTTTATCGCCTATTTCATCATGCTTGCAATAAAATTGTTAAACAAATCAATTTGGAATTTCGTAAAATTGCCAAACTTTATAAAAATCTGTAGATAAGATTGAGTATATGTTTGTGTATCGAGTTAAAGTCTATTTACGGACAGTATATGAGCTAAGCTCCACTCGGATTATATGTAAAGCTTTTGCAGTCTAATTTTAGACCGACCTATGCCAATAGTTTTGGTATAAACAAGAAAGTTAATTACAGACAGTTCACACAGTTTTATACCAATTGCATTGTCATGAGCCTGTTAAAAGCGCTCTATTCATCCAATTCAAGATCTGCGCTGGATCTGAAAACTTACACCTCAAACTATAAAAGACTACCCGAAGAAGCTAGGGATAAAGCCTCTTTGGTAAATGTTGAGAATAAAAGTTACTTCATCTACGCTGAACCAAATAGCTGCAATGAACTGGGAACAAGAAGGACACACGGGTCCGAAACTGCAGAGATACTCATTCTTTATAAATAGGCTTGAAAATAAAATTGAAATAAACTTAGAAACTCCCTGTCATTAATATAATAAAAATCAGTAGGCTACATCATGTTAAAAGTATATAAATATTTATATATGAACAAAAAAAGCTATTTAAATTTTAGTATTAAAATGGTAGATTAAGCCAGACAACAAGCGTGGCAAATGTGCTATTGTAAACATCAACTAAAGTCATGTAAATCGAATTAATATGACTGCAACTTTGGGAAGCAAAGCGCAGACATCGATGGCGCAGCGCGATCGCTCTTATCCTTGAAAATAATATGTATGTAAGTATATGGATTGGCAATGAGCAAAGACAGATGTTCCGAGTACTACACATTTTCAAATATTGTGCATCGTGCTCTATTCCGGCTGAAACGGAATCGTTTTCATCGTTTCGAAACCGATTGTAAATCAGTTTTCGATTTATTGGTATCGATAACGATTATGTAGAGTATACTCTTCATTCATATTATAAGCTTTTGTTACCCTTTGGAATTCAAATTAAATTCAGCTGAATTTCAAAAAAATACGAATTCAGAAAGGATCTATATGAATGAATAAGGAATAAATGGATTAAAAAGTAAAATAAGTAAATATTAAAATGTTTCTGCCTTCACCATAATTTACATAAGTCGCTTAAATTATTAAGATGTAAATAACCTCTCATTCTACCTCTCTACTTTCTCTCTCTCCCCCTCTCTATTTATCTGCTTGTGTCTTCCTCATGAAGCCTTAGAAATTTGTGTACTAGTTCAGTGTTTAACATGGGTCAGAGCAGCTCCAAGCGTAAGCATAAATGTAAAATGAAATCGAGAGGCGTTCAAATGCACAGCTCTTTAGAGACTATTAGAAATGAGAACGAAGACCAATTGACCCATTTAATGTATCCAATACATGTTGATAATAATTTGGTGCCAGGCTGGATAAACAAGTCGCAATTTTTAGAAATACTTAGTGCCAATGTGCCAGAGTTCTCAAAGATCGAAAACTTTTGCATTAAGCCAGCCACAACGGCTGGCGAAAACTATTCCTCGTTGATATTGCGCATAAGCATTGATGTTAAGCTGACAGGTGAGTTGAAGCTGCCTAGTAAATCCATTGAAATTTTCCTTTTTTTTCTAACCCATTTCCCATATAGACAAAAGCGTCAAGTCCATGTCATTCATGATGAAAGTACCACATGAATCAGCCAAAATGCAGCAGATGCTAAAGACTGTGAATTTCTTTACTGTCGAGAATGCAACCTACACAGAGCTCATATCCAGGTTCGAGGATCTCTATAAATCGATAGGTATGAACATCAAATTTGCACCACGTGCCTACAAGTTCACGGAGAGCTTGAAAAAGGAACCCAAACTGGCCAATACGGTGCTGATGCACGATTTGAGCCAGGATGGTTACAAAAATGTGAATCGCCTAGAATGCCTCAATGTGGAACAGTCCAAATTGGTGCTGCGCAAACTGGCACAATATCATGCAGCGGGTGCACACTGTCGGGTCATCAATGGGCCCTACCCGGAACTGTTTACGCAGCCCATGTTTGGATCGAACAAGGAGAGAGCTATTTCCATACTGGAGGGCATAATGGGGCCATTCAAGAAAATGTTTTTGGAACATCTTAGCTTCTATAAGGATGGAGAGAAGTACAGCGAAAAGTTTGTAAGTCTGAAAATGAATTTGGACCAAATATTTGATTACATTGTATTTAATCTTACTTTAGGCATTACTCTTCTCCAAAATGAGCAGAAAATTTTTGAGACTCAGCACATTCGATCCAACCGAATTCAATGTGATCAATCATGGCGATTGTTGGATTAACAATCTACTCTTTAAATTCGGTTCGAAAGGCGAGCTGATCGATATGATTTTCGTGGACTTTCAGTTGCCAAAATATGGTCACCCATCGGCTGATTTACTAAACTTTATCATGACCTCGATTCACATAGATTACAAGCTAAAGTATTTTGACTATTTTATTAAGTATTATCACGATCAACTGATTGAACATCTGAAACTACTGGAATATGAGGATCGACTGCCCTCGCTGGCGGAGCTGCACATGCAAATCTATAAATATGGTATATGGGCGATAACAGCCTCTGTCATGGTACTACCCATTGTGCTATTGGATCAGAACGAGGAAACCAGAGAGTACAAGAGTCAACTGTACACGAATAAGCGCTACAAGGCTAATATAGAACAGATAATGCCCTGGCTGGACAATCGTGGCCTATTGGAAGTATAGCAGCAAAATGACATCCAATTCGATAAATCAGCAACACAGCAAGAACTTTAGTTTTGGGAGAAAGGCTGCAGGCGGCAAACAAACCCGATTAGGCCGTTTCAACCTGTTCCAACGATTTAAAACTGCATATTTACTTAGTCAATATACATATATTTATCATTTTTGCTAAAATTATTTTGCTTATCTATGCTATTTGGGATTTGAAACGTAAAATTTTAAATGATGACAGCTTCTGGTAGAGGTTCGCTGAAAGACCCAGCCTTTAGGAAAAGAATAATGAATGTAATCATGCCCTAACCAAAGATTTATTAACTAGTACTATCCATCATTTATATTGATAGCATTTTCAAACTATATTATTTAGTAATAATGAAAAAAAAATATAAATAAGTAAATTTTTAACAAAGCTCTGGTTTAAATTTTTCGATTCGACCGCCCCAGGGACATGGTCTAAAAAAATGATTAAACATGGGACTCGAGGAATAATATAATAATAGATAAGCATTAAAGTTAAAAAGCCTATTGCACAAAACGCATATACTCGAAATGGATTGCTATTGAAATTAAATACAATTATTCAACAAGAACATATTTATATGTTTCAAATATTCGGTCATAGACCTTTTACATGTTCCTAACAGAGCGAGCTTTTTTCTAATCTTTAAATTGACCGTGTACCCACATGCACACATATATATACACACACAATAATGAGAACCGTATACAACCAGCAATGCAACTAATTGTATTCAGATTAGATAAGCAAACAGGTTATTAAGGCAAATATACGTATTATATGTATTTGACATAGTCATTGTGATTATACTAACAGCAGATCTAGTAGTAATGAGAGGAGAGATACTTAAATTATAAATTCTGTGAACAATCATTCAAACCCAATTGAGAAAAATATACAGGGTGTAATAGAGTTGTGCTTGTGTGCGTATACAGCCATGTCGTATATAGGCTTGATCAGAGTAAATCCAAGGATTTTCGTTAGCTCTCACTCCACAATGCGCGGAAGATGTTGAAGAAGTAGATTGTTATCTATACGTAAGCAACATAGACTAGCTCTAAATCAAACAGATAACAGTCTAGCTGTAAGATCTCGATCTCCCTGATAGATAAATTAAATAAGTACAACTTCAAGCTAACATACAAAATAAGTGAAATATAATAATACTAGGTTTTACTGAAAACTTTCTATTCCTATTTATTTAATAACAATAGCTAACCAAATTTACTTATTGTCTTAAGACAGAGTGTAAGTAAATAAAATGTAAAAAAAAAAAATAAACAAATCGCTAATTAAGTTGAATTTATATATACATATATCAATTAGTCTTTATAAGAGTTATATTTATCAATCTTTTTTTTATTGGAGTAAACTAGAAGTTACTATTGTTAAATTTGTATATAAATTAGACTCAGCGTTCAGTCCACTCCATTCAAATTTAAGCAAACTTTTGACCATCAAAAAGAAATACCAAGAAGGGAATAAGCTCCACATTCGAAGCATTCCAAATATAACAATACACGAATAATTCGATCGTTGAATTATTAAAGAACTTAGTATGTTAGTACCAGAGTGTAGGGCATCTTCCAGTCCCCACTAAAGCACTCTAGTTTATTTCAACATCTGACCATTGAATTGAATAATTTCCTGCACAACTGCAAATCTATCCATATCTGGCGTGCTAGAGAGCTTTTGCCCTCGGCAGGTATTGTAATGTTTCGAGTAATCAACCAGTTTAAATGGAGTGAAATATTCGTACGATAATGCTGATGTTTTTTTATTTATTTCTATTTTTTCTTGTATATACTCAAATATAATACAAATGCTGATAAAATAGTTCGACTATCAGCGGCTATCGGTAAAAGTTGGGTATAAATATCAACGTAAATTTTAAGGCAAATGCTCAGTTGAAAATTGTTTGTCAAGTCATACAGACGTTTAGAAATCGCGCAGTTTTTTTTTAATTCAACATCTGTTATGGGTCATAATAACAGCAAGTCAAAGCATAGCTATAATGTGGAAACTGCCATGCAGAAGCCACAGGCACAGCCCCAGCCCCAGTCCAGCACCGTGCCAGTGGACGATGCCAAATCTAAGATCAAGTTATCCCCCCCACCGGCCGCCCCACCTGCCGTTGTCAATTCCACGCCAGCGCCCGAATGGATTAATGAAGCGCAATTTGTGGAAATACTCAAACAAACTGTGCCGCAGTTCTCAAAAATTCAGAGCTTCAGCGTAAAGCCCGCCCTGGGCGCTGGCGAGAACTATGCGGCGCTCATGCTGAGAGTGAGCATTCAGGCAGAGCTGACAGGTGAGTAAAACAGCTGCCGATGACGTCACAAATTTTAGATTAGCTATGCAGACTGAGGAAATACCTTTAAATAAAATACAGACTCGGGAAATAGCTCAAAATTCAATTAAGATTATGATACGTTGAATACCCAATTTTCTTATCAGGACACCACAATTTTCTGGTAATCGCGACTGCTCAGCGGGGGGTTTGGGGGTGGTTCTTCACGCATGTTTTTTACTGAGATAACGGTACTAATACCATGTACTTAACTATATATAGAGCATTTATAGATTGCTCAGTTGAAGATATTAAGAAATTTATGAGCTTAATCTATTGTAAAATAAAAGAATTTTGGGAATGAAAGAAAGTACTTATAGCTAGAGATTATAAATAGAAATTTGTAGCTAGCATAATAAAAATAAAATAAAATAAACATATGTCTGGTTGAATTCAAGGCCAAGCACTTTTTTAATATTAAAAAGAAAAAAGAAAAAAATAAATGTATTTTTGAGCTTTTATGCTTGGTATATATTACTTTTTAAAACTTTGTTCGTGTTAGTCGAAAGTAGATTATAAGACTTAAGAAATTAGTAAATGAAAATAGATATTAACCTTAATTTCTCTTTAATCTTCCGACTAGACAAAACCGTCAAGCCTATTTCTTATATGATGAAAGTGCCCCACGACTCGGCTCAAATGCAAGAAATGTTGCAAACGATAAACTTCTTCGATATTGAAAATGAGTGTTACATTGATCTGATACCCAAATTTGAGCATTTGTACAAGACCAAAGGTTTGGATATAACCTTTGGGCCGCGCGCCTATAGATTCAAAGAGGGCCAGAAAACGGAGCCCAAACTGAAGAGTACGGTGCTTATGTACGATTTGGGTCAGGATGGTTATAGAAATGTGAATCGCCTGGAATGCCTCGATTTTGAACAGGCCAAAATAGTGCTCTGCAAGCTGGCGCAATATCATGCCGCAAGTGCCGCTTATAAGAGCTTGCATGGACCCTACTCAGATACCATTATGCATGGAATGTTTGGCTCGAATTCAGAAAAGGCTATGGCTATGATGGACGCTATGATGATACCCACACAGAAAATGTTCGTGGAGAATCTAAAGCACTATGACAACTGCGAGCAATATCGCGACAAACTGGTGAGCAGCTGTATAATATATTAATTTCATATATAATTTTAAGATAAGCATTTTGCCAACTGTTTTTTTAGGAAAAACACTTCTCTAAAATGCACGATATGTTCGGAGCTCTGGCCCAGGCCAATCCTAACGAATTCAATGTCATCAATCATGGTGATTGTTGGGTCAACAATTTCCTCTTTAAATTTGATCCAAGTGGCCAGCTGCTCGATATGCTTTTTGTGGATTTCCAGAATCCCAGTTACGGTCATCCTTCCGCAGATGTGCTATACTTTATTATGACATCTGTGCACATAGATTACAAACTGAAGGATTTCGACTATTTTATCAAATACTATCACGATCAGTTGATTAAACACCTTCAGCTGCTGGAGTATAAGGAACGTTTGCCCAAATTGGTGGAGCTGCAAATGGAGATGTACAAATACGGCAGCTGGGCACTAATGGCCAGCTATTTGGTGCTGCCCGTGGTGCTGCTGGATCCCACGGTAACGGCCACATTTGAGAACTTCTTGGGCACCGGCGAATCGGCGGCCGATTTCAAGAAGCAAATGTACACGAATAAACGCTTCAAGCATTACATCGAACAGATACTGCCCTGGCTGGATAATCGTGGTCTATTGGAGGTTTAGTAAGTATAGCTCTATAATCATAGTTAATTGCTAACGTTAATTCATTTATTTGTTCAGTGAACCACCGCAAGCTGTGCTAGCCCCGACAGTGCCCTCAACAATTGCAATGCCTGCGAAAGCCGAACTCGATTCAAATGTGCCCTCCTGGGTAAACAGCGATCAATTCAAGGAACTGCTCAAGAGCGGTTATTTCGATTTTAAGGAAATTCTCAATTTTCGTGTCAAAAAGGCCACCGAAGCCGGTGACAACTACTCATCAATTATGCTCTCCGTGGATATTGATTACCAAGCCGTAAATGGTCAAAGTTCGAGTGCGTCTTTCATGCTTAAAGTGCCGCCAAACAGTAATGCAACAGCCGCAATGCTTGACCTTATGCTCACCTTCAAGAAGGAGTTGGCCATGTATAATGATGTCATACCGCAGCTGGAGAAGCTTTACAAGCAGGCTGGTCAGCCCGTTGTCTTTGCCCCCAAGAGCTACAAGCTACAAAATGCACCCAAGTCTGATCACATTCTGTTGGAGAATCTGCGTCCAGCAGGCTTCAAGAATGCGGATCGCCTACAGGGACTGAGCATAAAAGAAACGGAGAAGGTCCTGGACAAATTGGCGCTGTTGCATGCCGCATCCGCACAGCTCTATGTGACCAAGGGCCGCTATGCAGATTGCCTGGACAAGTCGCTGTACAACGAGTCCACACTCCCATTTTTTGAGAACCCGCAAAGTAAAGACTTTGTGGCTTTAAATACAGAGGCAGTGAGAAGCTTTAAGGGCAGCGAGATCTTTGGCGACAAAGTGGTAAGTTTTGGGCTAGAGTTAAACGATAAAGATAAAACTGAAGTATAGTAAGAAGTACGAATTTTGTCCAAATTCTGTCAAATATTTCTTAATTTAAGGACCTTTTTTTTATCCCGAAATTACTTAAAATCTCAAAACCTTTTGTGCACTTATTGAAATTAAGCAAACTCTTGTGATTGAAGAATATTCAAACACGAATGAATTATATTTAGAATTTAGAACGTCATATTTTTCCCAGTGCGTGCTTATAAAGTGTTCCATTTACAGACCAAGATCCTGGAGAACTTGTTCCATTGGGAAGCCAAGGCAGGCATCTATGATGATACCCAATTTAATTGCCTCAATCATGGCGATTGCTGGACAAATAATGTGATGTTTAAATATGATGCACAGGGCGAAATTGTGGACACGCTCTTTGTGGACTTTCAGCGGTCGACCTTTAATTCGCCCGCCCTGGATTTGTATTACTTTCTATTGTCCTCGCCCAGTTTTGATATAAAACTCGAGAAATTCGATTACTTTGTGCGCTATTATCATACGGAACTGCAGCGCAATTTGGAACTGTTAAAGTATCCCCGACACATACCCAGCCTCAAGGAGCTGCACACCATTCTGCTCAAGAATCCCCTGTGGGCCACGACTACGGTTGCGACTGTCATGTCGGCTGTGCTGCTCGATCCCACCGCCAATGCAAGCATTGACACCATGTTGGCCAGCGATGAGGAGGGAAAACAGTTTAAGAAGAAGCTCTTCCAAAACGACAGGTATCGCCAACATGCTGAGGCCCTTTATCCCTGGCTAGATCACAGAGGACTCCTGGATTTAGAGTAAGTTACTGTAAATGTTACTGTTACAACTTATTTTAAGTCCAATTTGTTTTTGATGTTTGAGTTAAATAGTTAATAAAATAAAATAAACGCTTACAAATATATTTTTAACAATTATTAATTTTGTTAATAAATAAAAACTTTTATTGTCAAAGAATTCTCTGCGAGCCCAAGAAGTTGCTATAAGTATTGAGAGAGCTATCGGATCTGTTCACTATAACAGATGTATTACAAACACATGATCTTAGAAGTACATAAAATATTTGTATACCCTAGAATATTTTGCTTGGCTTAACATGCCTCCGTCTATCTTTTGCGAATTCAGCCCAATCTGCATGATGATTTTTTTGTAATTTGTATTATTTTAGTTGTAAAATGTTAAAAGGAAAATACTTTCAGCATCGGATCATCACATCTCATATCTTCAACTGAAACAACCATTGCACACATACATTTTTTTTTTAATATATAGCTTAGAAACATTATCTCTATTAAAAATATGTATTTAATTTTATAGCGATGTCGATACAAAATCCAAAGATGGCCTGGATTTGGATTGGCTGAATTTTCAAAATTTTGCCAAGCTTATTGGCGACGAAGAGCCTTAGTTTGAGAAGATTTTGGAAGGTGCTTCGATTCCAGCAACCAAGCCGGGTGATAATTATGGAGCCAAGCTGCTCAAAGTGGGCAGCTTAAAGGTTCGTCTTGAATAAAGTAAGACCACTTTCTAAATTTGAGATCTACGTCTTCTTAGATAACACTACAATGAACTACGCCTATATGCTGAAAGCAGAGCCTGATATTAAGATAGAAGAAAACTCTGCATTTAACATGGTTCCCAAGGAGCATGAAGTATATGAAAAGTACGTGCCTTCCTTTGAGCAGCTATACCAGGAGGCGGGTCTATCGATCAGCTTCAGTCCCAGGATCTACAAATTAAATAAGTCTATTGACAAAAACTATTTGCTTATTTGCTGTAGGCGACCGGCGTTACAATGGCGGATCGCATGCAAAGTCTGGACTTGGAGCACACCAAGTGTGCGCTGAAAAAGCTGACCCAGTGGCATGCCGCCTCGCTCAGGTATAAGGAACTAAATGGACCATATCCAGCTAGATATGATGATGGCATGATCTTCGTAAAGACACGTGAGCTATTTAAAACCATAATAAAGTGATATATGGACGAACAATATCATTTTCCATCACGACCAGAACGGCGAGTGCAAGAGACCTATCTGCTAGATCATCAAAACACCAAATATGGCAATGTAGCACAGGATCTATACTTTTTCCTAATCAGCTCGCCACAGCTGGAGTTTAAGATCGAGCAATTCGACTATCTAATTCGTTGGTATCATGAGAATTTAATAGAAAATGCCCAACTATTGAAATACACCTGCTTTGCGCCCGATCTGAAGCAGCTGCACAGCATATTGCTCAAGCATCCCATAAATGGCAAGCGTTTGGGTGTTTATATTTAAATTTATTTTTAATAATAATAGTATTTTGCATTATAGCTACTGGCATTGTGCTCAGAACTTTAACCATATGTCTGGCGAAGCCCAATGAGCCTAATTTAGCTACTGACTTATTTTTTGAAGAAAGCGCAGCTAGCGATGCCTTATACAATCAACTACATAGCAACGAGCTTTATAAGACCCAAGCTGAGCGTATTTTGCCCTGGCTAAATAGGCGAGGTCTATTGGATTTAGTTTAGCTAAACGTTCTAATGGAAGTAACATATAATTTATTGACTTTGGTTCGAACATGCGTATATATATAATCTGAATCTAACAACTAGGTTTATATATCATAAAAAAAAGGTTGTAAATGTATAACTAACATATCACTTGATGGCCAACTTGAAAGCAACATAAATACTGGTTACAAAGACAACAGCAATAGCGAGTTTTTTGAGATTGGCTCGATTCACGCCCTTTACAGTGCGCAGCAGTTCAATATTCATGCGAAATACATTGCGACTCTCTTCGATATACTCGGCACGCGTTTTTTCATCCAGTTGTCCATAAACCTCATTGAAAATGCGACGGAGCTTGACTTTTAGAGTGGGTATGCGTATGGGAAAGTATGTTGCCTCACAGCCCACTTGTGCAATGGTCACCTGTTCCGGCATGGGTCGAGCACGCAAATCGTTGTCTGTGATGCCATCATCCTGGGCTGTGGCAGCTGCTCTAGCTGTTGCCTCAGCAGCATCCGCTTCAGCTTGCTTTTGCTGCTGCTCGGCGCTGTCTTTGGGAAAAATCCATAGTTTGCGTGCAATCATGCGTTTCTTTTGCAACAGCTGACCGCCAGACATTAGGGCCATGTACATTTGGAAGGCAAACGCGAAGAGTAGCACCTCGCTTTTGGCCTTCACTTGCTCCAAGTGTGCCAAATAGACTTTGACAGCTGGACGCGGCTCATATGTCTTGACCCAGTCGGCACCATAGAAATAGGCAAAGTCACGCTCAAATGCAGCCGCGCGATGCAGTTCCTTGGGCAGCAGGCGCTCCGGCAAGTTGGCCTCAAAAAATTTATATAATTCGTAAAAGACCAAAAGTCCATCGTACCAAACTTCATCATCCGTAAGCGCTGCGCATATGGTACACGAATACAATTAAATAACAAAACAAATTGAAAATTTGAAAAACATTTACCAATGGCGAATTTAGCATTAACCAGGACATCCGTAAGCTTATGCACATCCTTTGTCGCCTGGCGCACTTCTTTTGTGAATGTCATGTCCACATAATCCTCATCTTTGCTCTCAGCGCTTTCAGTGTTTTCGGTAGTCTCTTTGACTTCCAGAACGGGTGTTGCCTCGGCCGTTGACATTTTTCTCTTGTGACTGTTGATTTGCGTTCACTCCAATAAAACGTAATATGTTTTTAATAAACAATGCGTAAATCCAAACGACTTCGTGCGCATTAACACAATGAAAGTTTTTTTCGATTTCGCAATGAGCGATAAGATAAATTGTATATATTATCGATTATTAGCAAGTGGCAACTTTAAATCATATATATTACACACATCTATTCGGGTTAAAAATGATTTAAAATCAAACACGCAAAACATAAAAGTTCCGCCTCAATTTAACACAAACGATATAATTAAAAATACGACCCTACAAAAAAGAAATCGAACAATCAAGAAAGTCCGCCATGTATAACGTTCTGCCCGCGCTTAATACATAAACATAACAAGAGACCTCAGACCTATCGAGCTATCGATGTCTGGCAGCATTATTATTTGGCTAATTTTACAGCACTTGTTATCTTCTAGCGATGTTTGGCTGTTTCACAACACTACTGCAAGCCTGATGAGGTTGTTGTTCTGTTGTTCTTATAAAATTTGCAGTTTAATTGTTTAAAATAAATAAAACGCCAATTATAACTCGAACTGTAAGTGTTTTGCTTGACGCCTATGCGCGGGCTTTGAAGGCACATACCTATAAAATGTACTTTAGTGAGCCCTTGCATGATAAAACAAATGTGAAAACTATGGCAGAATAAAAACTATGCACTATTTTTACAAATATTTTTTGAATTAATATTTATAACGCTCTCATACAAATCACGCACTGAAACACAATAATTACAGTACACAACAACAGCTACAACAACAACATCGATACAATTGCAACGCTTTGGTTTTATCTGTCTACCCCCCCTCCCTCCGCACACACACACACACAAGCTATATTTTTCTAAATTTTAACTCGCATTACCTAAGTAGTTCATTTAAACATCTATATCCTGTCTATATTGTAAAACGCAAGACTATCCAAAAAGCAATGTCGGATCTTTTTCCCACTTTTGATAGCAACAGCGGGCAACACGACACACCAATGGCATCGCCCTCACAACACAGCCCCATGACAAACAACAGTAACTCATCCTCCACACAAAACGGTGGCACAACAACGTCTCAAGCGGGCGCTGGCGGTGCTGGTGCTGGTGGTGTTGGTGGCGGTGGCGGTGGTGGTGGTGGGAGCGGTACAGCGGCTAGTGGTAAGAGCACAAGCCACAGCGCTGCGACGGGCGCGGAGAATACACCTGTAAGCGCACAAACACACGCAAAAGCCAACAATCTCATTTAGTTAAAATTCTACTACTGCCTTTCTTTGTAGATGTTAACGAAGCCGCGTCTCACAGAGCTGGTGCGTGAGGTGGACACCACCACGCAACTGGATGAGGATGTGGAAGAGCTGTTGCTGCAAATCATAGACGACTTTGTCGAGGACACTGTCAAATCGACGAGCGCCTTTGCCAAGCACCGCAAATCAAACAAAATCGAGGTGCGCGACGTGCAGCTGCATTTTGAGCGAAAATATAATATGTGGATACCCGGCTTTGGCACAGATGAATTGCGTCCGTATAAGCGTGCTGCAGTGACCGAGGCGCACAAGCAGCGACTAGCATTGATAAGGAAAACTATAAAAAAGTACTAGACGGGGGGCGGGCGGGTGCTATGCAGGGTTTCTAGTTTGTCAATATAATTTGTATGATACTTTCATGAAAGAACACTCCACTTCATTTTAGCCACATTCAACTTAGAGTATAAGCAGCAAAGTTATATCACGGCTGAACAATAGTTTACAATTAATATCATTTACTTAAAATATACACAAAAATGCAATAAATGCGAGCGCAAAAGGCAAAAGTTTCTTTTTAATCACATGTTCACATGTGAAGCTGGACATAAATAAGACTATTATTTATTTTATTTACTTACATTTTGCATTTGAAAGTTTATTTTAGAAATTATAATTCTACTACACTGCACTACAAAAGTCTCGTACATAAAATGATTACTGCATGACATGCAAAAATTGTCATCACTTTCTGCTATCGATACGCTCACGTGACTCATCGATAGGTTTGGATTTTGTGTCAGCTTTTGTCATCACAGTTGCACTGCACATACATACATATGTATTTAGTAGATTAGCAGGACATTGAATTTTTATGTTGTGTTTCGTTACCGTTGTGTCTGTTTTAAATGTATTAAATGTTAATTAAATCGAAATAAAATGAAGCTGCCCGTCATGTGTCGTACTTGCGATGCAAGGGACACA